TGACTGCGTTTCAGGTGCCCGGCAGATGGGACTTGATACAGAAATGAAACGGTTATGAATCTGATGACATGTCTGCATATCTGAGTTGGTGGCCTGAGATTCACACTCACTTTACAATGAAACAGAGAGCCCAAAGTTAGAGCTTCAATTTCCAGAGACAGAATATTTCTTGAAATTTTTTAAATAAAAGCCCCCTCTCTTAAAAATACTGCCTTAGTGTCTAGTCTTCCAGGGCATCCCATCACATATACATGTGAATCTACACAGAAAAAGGTCTGGACCTTGGGGAGGAACTTCGAGAGTATCTGCTAAAATAAAAAACAAAAATGCACTTCGCCTTCAGCCCAGGTTTTATTTCTCAGCCTCTGCCTTCGAGGAGTGATTGCCCATGTACATTAAAAGGGAAGTATGAACATTTTCAGAGTTATGTTGTTTATGATAGTGAAAAATTGGAAATACTCTAAATGCCAGTCAATAGGGGAGTGCTTAAATAAAAGTTGTATCTCTACATTACAACGTACTAAGCAGAAATTTAAGAAAAAGTGTTAGGTTTTATATTGTTCTGAAGTGGGAAATTCCTTAAGACATAAATTTTAAAAAGCAAGTTATGGAACAATATGTACAGTGTGATACCACGGATGTAAACACACATATACACACACCCCACCAACAAATACATGAAAACCTGTATTTAGCTATACACTCATGTGTAAGTGTAAGAAATAAAGATCTGGAAAGATATCCACCAAATTAAAAACAATAGTTATCTCTGAGGCAAGAACCACAATTGGGAAATTGAAGATTAAGGTAGATGTTTTCACTTTATGGGCATTGTTCAAATATTTTACATCAAGAATAATTTTTAATTACTCTCGTAACAACCAGGAACCAGACAGGAGAAATTAGGATGATCTGAGGGGAGTTTAACTAAGGAAAGCTTACAGAGCTATGGGTAGGGTTCAGGTGAACCACTTAGGACAGTGAGGTACCGCAGTGATGTACCAGGGGAGCTGTTACCACTCCTAACCCAAAGGGGGAAGGGAGAGGGCAGCTACAGGAACCCAGAAGGAGAGCTGTGTAGTGAGGTTTCCTGGAGGAGCCCTGGAACCTGGACATGGTCCACACAGGGCAGCTCCTGGGCAGAGAGCAGAGGGCAAGGTGGTGGAGGGTGGATTTGGAGGAGCCAAAGGAAGACAACAGGCACATAGCCATCTTCCTTTAAAAACTATGAAAAAAAGGGATAATATCTAAAATAATATATAACACATGTTTATTCCTGAGAGTTGGGATAATAGAGGTTTCAAATTTCTTCCCTTTGCTTATTTTCTAATTTTTAAAAAATACTTATTGCTTTGAGTTGTAAAAGTTATGGCCACTTCAGAAATGGAAAGAAGTCAGGTGATACCTGCAAATATGAGAGACAAGGACTAAGGTGGAGGTTACTGATTAATTGAAGAATGTGGAAAAGGGCACAGTTAATGAGTTGAGAGGGGGAATCTTAAATTTGAGGCTCTTGTTGGGCCTTAAACACAGATATTTGATAGGGAAAGATTAGTTTTTAAAAGAAATTGTGCTGGCATAATTGGCTATCCATTTGGACCCCCCATTGAAATTATATGCACAAATAAGTCTTAGATGTATTAAATATCAGAATATAAGCATTAAAACACTAGGAGAAAATTTAGAAGAATTTCTCTAACATCTGAATGGGAGATGCCAAAAAGAAAAGACCAACATAATTGAATACATAAAAATTAGACACATATAAAGGGAGAAAAAGCATTTACAAAGTCATAAGACAATATACTCCGAGGTACATTAGATAGAGTGATAGTACTTACACCTAATATACAAAGGGCTAGCCTAACTGATAAAAGAGAGAAACAGCTCATTAAATGCTGAGATGTTTAAACAAATATCACCTCACTCCTTTGTGACCTGAATTCTGAACAAATTGAGATATTTGAAAGACAGTAAGGCAGATGGGAGCCAAAACCACATTTAGTATTAAATAGAGACTGGGATGGAAAACACATCCTAGTGTGAGAGAAAATGTCTTCCTAACACTGAGTATGAGAAGTAGACAATGTGTCCCCTGTGAGAGCAGCGCAGCCATAGAGCAGACCCTCCCCACAGGAAAGCGAGAAGATGAGCTGAGCAGGACCCACTAAAGTTTCTCCATTTCACCATCAGACAGGTCACAC